AAAAGTTGCTCCATCCACAATGGTTGATTTATTTATTTAGTTTTGGTACATAGATTATTGAAATGAGGGGTCCAGGATTCATTACTGCTTTAGAACAGCCAGAATTTCCAATCCAACACCTAAACTTGGAGGTTAACTAAATATAGACAAATTAAAAGCTTAATTATAGCATTTCTTAGAGCCACATGTTGATATTATTCCACCGCTATATGCTGAAGTTTAGTTGGCTAGAAAAGAACTGAATATGTGGCCAGGGTTTGTGCTTTGAGTACAACTTAAGTCAACATGGCTGCAGCGTTATTTTGTTAGAAACTGATAGATATCCTATCTTATGCAATACATAAAAGTTAAGCTGCTGTCACTGAGTAAATAATAAATAAGCTTTGTTAAGCTGGGAACAGTAGCAGCTGCTGGATGCAGCTCAACATATGGCACAGGCACAGCATCAGTGCGCACACACTCTTCTCACCTATGATTCACTGCACATGTACACCCTATCTGGATTGTAAGTTATGAATGAACAAGGTTGGAGATGTAATGGCTGTTTTACGTACACATCATCTTTCTTTGCTTTTTCCTTTCCCCCTTTCATTCCTTGTCTCTCAGCGTCTCCCCTCTCATTGCCAGCTCCATTCAGCCTGAGCTTGTTATTTGAATGAGAGGAGTGGACCACCCCGGGGAGGGATAGGGGGAGATCACATTTCACCCAAAAATGTAGAGGGCCTACAAAAGAGCCATGAGACTTTGGGTTGGGGCAGAACGGGCGGCATAAAGAGGGGAGAAATTGGAGAGCACATGAAAGAGTGCATTAGAGAAAGGGAGAGAGAGATTGATTGGGCTGTAAGATGAGGGGATGGATGAAGAGAGTTGGAAGTGAGGGAAAGGAAAGGTAGGATGGGGTAACACTTTTCCTTCCTGATAAGAATGTTTTCAGCTTGTCCTCTGCTTTTTATGGCATGTGCAGCTTTTGCACAGAAGAAATATAAAGAAACGTATGCTTAATCATAGTTTAGAGTAAAAAAAACAAACACAATAAAGAACTCTCGGCTGAAAAGTTTACCATGCAGCAGTCACATGCAAATGGCTGAGGAGGGACACTACTCTAACATGTGCAGAGGAGATATGTCAGGAGATAAAAAGTAGAAAGTTCTGATTAATGATCTAATGATTTATCTGTCATAGAGACTGTTTTGTGTCTTCAGTCCACACTTTTCCTGTATTCCACAGTCTCAACTTAGGTTTGTAAGCTTTTATCACAAGTGACAAAACGATAGAAAACTGTGGCAACTCTCACAACAACACGACAATAAAATGTGTGCGTGCAAATGTCTTTTTTTTATGAAGAAAGTTTTTAAACGCTTTCTTTGTTGTTGTGGAAGTGTAATTTCCAATTCTGTTACAAGATGTCATGCTGTGGTTTGCTGTGGTTTTCACTTTGCACCATCACATAATAACAGCAATCCATGATGAAAAAATAAACAGTTGAGACATAAATTTGAATCAAGCTAATTGTGATCAACACACAAAAAACCATTAAAATGATTTTAGACATCTACCATGAAGTCATCCTCTCACCTGTGTGACCAAAGTTAAAGAAGCTGCTGTTTCCTGTGGCCTCCTATGGAGGCGCTGTTATTCACAGCTTTGGGAGTTATTGGAGAGTCTGCTTTTCTGACTGCCTTCATTGACGTTTAATGATAATTTTAACTTGGGTCACATCAGGGGCAGATGCACTCTGACACACACTGGAGCACCACATGCACACAGCGCCTGGTTAAAAACATGAAGACATTAGCAGAAACTTGATGCTGAGTGAGTATTGATCTACTCTCAGGGGGTTTGGAGAGTGACAGAACACCAGACAGCACTTTATCACAGCACTTGACCATGGTGGGGGCGACCAGCACAAGTGTGTGTGTAACTCACGGATGACAAAAGACCAGCCCTTGAGTATAGAATCTGTCATCAAAATGAATAACACTTGATTTTTAATGCAGAAATTCACGCAGTAGGGTTATCAGTCTTTTCTCAGTCTACACATTTTTGGCCATTTTGCTGCTTCCTTCCTGATCTCTCCCAGCACGCTCCTCTGAGGTCCTGACTGGCACGTTCAATCTGCTTTCATAACATTATACAGGCCAGACTCACGAGCAATCAGACCTCTATGCGTGTGGGTGTGTGCATGTGTCAGATCAGTTGGGATTCCATGATTATGATTGCTGAGGACACGTGCTGCTCACATTCTTCAATGATTGCCTCTAAACGAAACACAAATGCCAAGCATAACAGTAAACCCGTCGAGAGGGAGAGAAATGACAGCATCGTGTACTCGGAGGGTTGGTCCTTGAAGATAACCAGACCGCAATAACTAAAGTAGAAAGTGACCTGAAAACAAGGAGCAGATGGAAGAGCAACCACATGAAAGTGCACATGTGCCTTTCCATGCATGTGCTCATTTATCTCTGTGTAACACTATGTACACAAAACGCTTTGATTTCATCAATTTGGCACACACAGCACCTTCCGCTCATATTAGATTGCATTTTCTAGTTTATATTTAGGGCAATTCATGCTTCATTCGTTTGTATTATGTTTAAATATATATCTATCAATTACCTATCGGTCTGTCTAGACTGAGATTAGCCCTTTAAGTAATGTTAGACTCAGATTTCCAAACAATAAAATGAGCTAAATTAAGCTATATTAAACAGTGGATGCAGCATAAGTCTTTGAGTGTTCTCTGATTAGTGGTGAACAGTATTAGTGGTCACTGATAGCGTATATCCATGTATATTTATGTCTGCATATATTCAAATGTAAATTTATTAGTATACAATATTCACTTCTCGTACTTTTTGCACAACTTTTGGTCACTTAACTTTATTCAGACACCTTTTATTGTTTTGTTCTTGTAACGTTTCAGCATTATTGAATCGATCGTTTTGTTTAAATGTATGTTTTGCTACATTTTTCCCTCTTATTAACACTATGGCTCAGCAGTCACAGCATTTCACTGACAGTTGTACTAAGTTAGTGACAAATAGACCTTGATTTGATTTTGATCTGTTCAATTCAGCTTAATTTAAGTGGAGCTTAGATAAATTAAAACTCACCATTTTCACATCTCTTTCTGAGATGCCTTTTCCACCTTTTCTGGAGAAAGCTGCCATCTAAGGCAACATCTAGGTAATTCTTCTCAAGCATCCTGTGACTCAAAATCTCAAAGGAGCCTTTTGCAGGAAGACCATATCTATTCACAAAAAACTTGAAAGCTCTGAAAAACTACAGCATAAATTATATAGATTGGAATAAATATCAGATTAGAGGAATTTCATATCTTAGAACGCAATTGAAATTCTAGCTTTTCGACAATAAATCTGTTATTTTAACCATTCCAAGCACTATACTTCTTTTGAGTGTCAGTTGCTGTAGAATTCAACATATTTTTTAAGTAAATTCAGTCTGAATGTTCTCTGTCTGAGGTCACACCAGCTTTTGCAGGGCTCCTTGTTATTTTCAGTGAAAATCTGACGTGGTTGGGGCAGTTGTATCAGGGTTCAATGACTTACTCGACTTTGCTCAAAACTTACTAACTTCAATATTTGCAAAGCTTTCTCACTACCTCCAGCAGATGCACATGCACACACTGTCCTCTCTTCAGAAATCAGTTTGGAATTAATTTGGTACAAGTTCAGGAATTCACAGAACTTTTTCAGTCAAACTCTCAGACAGTTCACACATGTCTCTCTTTTGTTTTGTTTTCCTCATACCTTGATTTCTGCTTACTGTTTTGGCTACAGTCCAGCACCAAATTGTCATTCAGACAATCAAGCTGTTACCCCATTTTCTTTTGCCCCCCCCACCCCCACCCCGCCCTCAATTTGTTCATTTTTGCCCTCTTTACCTCTGCACCACTCAGTATGATTTATGAGTGGCACACTCACAGGGAGAACCTACATGTTTGACTTCCATGTACAGTATATACACACTGATTATTTTCTCGTCCTTTTTAGCTTGTGAAAATAAATTTGCTGATGTTAAATGTGATTGATTTTCTTTGCAAGGCTTTGTGACAAAACTCATTTCCACACGGTTACAAAAACAATGCTTTGAAATTCCTTAAACTAATTAGTTTATTTCATCTGTTCAGGAGAAAAATGGCTTTTTCCATAAAAAAAACATCTGACGCATTGTGCTCAGTAGCCCACTGGGGCTCTGTGGATGACAGAAAATAATTGATACTTCCTAGAAGATTTTAATTTTTTATTTAAAGACGTTGAAAACAGTCAAAGCAATGGGAAAAATGACAGAAAACAGGACATTTAAAATATGTAAAATAATGTTAAACGTAAAATAAACCTCATCTTTGCCCACCTGCTGTCAATTTTCACATTTAAGAACACGTTTTAACTCAATAATGATGAACCTGTTTTAGTAGTCTGCTTAATAACAATAATAGCATTTATGTGGGGATTTTATTTATCTTAAATACACACAAAGACCTCAAGGCCTTGACGATTTCTACATTAAATTGAATAAACATGCTGAATAATGGAATACTGAATTCACCCCTCATTTGTTTTTCCCTCATTCTGTCATTGAACAAAGCACAGGAGACATCCCAACAGTACAACCAGGGATATCCATCAATGTAAAAGACCCATGCATCTGAGCAAAGCCTATGTTGGACTCTTCTGGTTTGCATCACACATACCTAAAGAATACTTTTAGTTGTATGGTAGATTAGATTGGTAGATGGTATATATGGCTAGACATGGTAGATTAGATTCAAACTTGTAACAAATTTTCAGCTTGTCTCTCAAACTGAGAGGTAAACATATCTGAATGAACCGCATGGCCTTTTATACAAAATAATCACAGCAGGTAAATAAAGGTTCAGTAGGCAATGACACACTGAAAAGTAACTTCACAGTTTACTGAATGTTAGAAGCTCCAGACTGCCACACTCCGTTAAAGAAAAGCCCTAAAACGCCATCGGGCTATTGGGCGCCAGTTTTCATCCCTGGGCTGCTGGCCGACATTTTCACTGACAATTCAGCTGGTAAAAGTTTTGCTTTCTCACGGAAGTAGGGAAACACTTCTTCTGTGAAAGTGTATTTGATGGTATGAATAAGCCTTTTTCGAGAAAGGTCATAAAATGACAGCGTCCCTCTGTCATAATCTAACTTCACTCCCACCTTTTGAGGGAACAACTTGTGCTCAACTTCTCTCAAGCAACATTCAGGTGTTAATTCACGCACAATATTAGTGCAAATGCACATGTAGATGCCCCATATCTTTTGAGAACTTTGATCTTTGTTTTTAGCCGCCACGCCAACAGCCCAGTAACCGCCCACTTCCACATCCCAGCTGTATTTACCAGATGCAAAGCCTGCACACCCAAGAATGTCATAACGTCCCAACCTTTCAGGGTTGTCTGGATATGGTTGTTTCTTCTGACTTTTTTCGGAGCAAGTCAGGTTGTCTGATACGGTCAGCTGTGTGCAGGCCGTGTTGGGATCCAGAGTTACTGAAGCTATCAAAAATGTAGAGACAGAAAGGCGGTTAGTAAAAATCCAACAAATATCTGTTCAAAAAGCCTTAGATTGCTTACTGTACTGCACTATTTTGGCCATTTTTTTCCAAACTGAGAACTGCAGGTTCCCAATATGCTTGGCTTGGTTGATCAGCGCTCCTGATGGAGTGTCTACCTCTGGTAGCTTGCACTTGGATCTGAAATAGTTCATTTTTCAGAGATTACTGGCCACAAAGTTTTCTAAAAACCTAAATGTTAGTGCAATAAACTGACTAAACGCTGTGCTGGACTCTAAATAATTAGTTTGTCCCCCCTATAAAGTGAATTCAATCAATCGGTCTTTAATCAGATAGTGTTTTCTCAAACCCAAATTAAAGGCAGACCCCTGAAAAGTGTTTATAAAATAACCAATTAATCTGGACCTCAGAGAAAGTACTTTCCCGAGATTTTGTGTACAGTGCATAATTGATCACAAGCAATGAAACCCACATTCTAAAAAAATGTACAAAAACTAAATAAATGAACATAAATGAGAAAAGATGGAAAAAAACTTACTTCACAATTGTGGTTCTGACATTCTGCATGATAAAAATAAATAAAGTTAAGTCAAACAAAGTATGGATAAAAACAGTATTGCGTATGTTTATTTCCTGAGAGGTAATACATAGAAGTGGCTACCAGCAGAAATGAGAAGTCCTCTGCGCTCATCTCCTCCTCCATGGCTTTGATCTTCTCTTTGAGTGTCAGTATCTCTGCAGTCAGGTTCAGGATCTTTATGCTCATTGCCAAACTCTTCTGCGCCTCCTCCTTCCGGCACGCGTCGATCCTGGCGGCCTCCTCTGCTCGCAGGAACTTGTAAAGCTTCTGAAACTCCACCTTGATGGTCTTCTCCGTCTGCTGAGCCTGAAACTAAAGCGAAACTGCCGCAGTTGAAGTAGGAACTTCCTGCCTTCTGACCTTCTCACCATCGTGGCCGTGACCTACCTGGATGTGCGCAGCCACCTTGTCCCAGCTCACTTTACTCTTCTCATATGAGCCCAGTTTACTTTTCAAGTTTACCAGCTGTGTCTTGAATCTGGCCTGAGAATAAGCCTTGGCATGTTAATTTCTCAGCCAGGTCAACCACTCAGGCAGATACAGGTATTTCCTGATACACTCCTGGCCATGGCCTGCTTACCCTGTAGTCCTGCGCTGCTTCACTCAGGGGGACGCAGTTGTGTCTCCTGTGCGTCTTGGCCTCCTTGCAGACCACACAGATGGGCAGCAGGTCCTCCCGGCAGAACAGCTTGTGCTTCTCACCGTGCAGGGGGCACATCTCCGTGGACGCTGGCGCTGCTGCCTGGTCTCTAGTGCGCCTCAGGGCGTCAGACAGGTTCCTGAGCGCCAGGTTTGGCGGCGGCTGCGCCATTGGGAAAATGGCCTTGCAGACGGGACACGTATTCTGACCGCTCTGTCTCCACCACCCCTGAATACACAGCTTACAGAAGCTGTGGCCGCACAGCAGCACCACCGGGTCGGTGAATAAATCACAGCACACGGGACAAGTGCAGTCTTCCTCCGGCTGTGAGGCGTGGGAGGCCATTTGCGCCGGGGGTCCCCCTCTCAGTTTATCTCCACTTTCGGATTCTCGCTGCGATTGAGCAGCTTGTGTCCACTAATCATGCACGGCAACAAGAGCTTTAGAAGTTCTCGTAACTTCCCGCATATACAGGTAGATGTCTTCTTATCTGAACTATCTTCTGTCCCCCCTTTATTAAGTCCAACAAACAAACACGCAGCTGCTGATTGTGCCAGCTTCCTGCTCTCTGAGCGCAGAGGGAGGAGCGCCTGTGCTTCAGCGGAAAACGAAAGTCCTGGAACTCAGGACAACGTCTTATCCCAAGTTTCTCTTGCATCACATTGTGCATCGAATTATATCAGTGTATATTGAATATGTAGATCGGTAGAGTCATTATTAGACGCGAAGTTATGGTGTCCTGAATCATAAGTTTGAATAAAATTGGCGTTTGCATGATTGCGCAGATATGGATAGACTTAAAAGTTAGTAATTAGGTTTTGTGTATATATGTGTGTGTTTGTGTGTGCGTGTGTTTGTGTGTGTGTGTGTGTGTGCAAATGTATGAGTTGCTTTGCTGAGGGCCGACTCTGAACTACATAATTACAATAACAAATCCTAATTAGTGTGACATGATGTAAGTACATGGGGTCACAGTCAAAATATAGGAGGACTATACAAGTCATTAAGGGAGCAAAATCACTCAATTATCACAGCTAAAGAGTTGTGCCAATTTCTGATGGAGTTCATCCAAAACAGTTATTGAGAATCATTATAAAATATTATTTATCAGTTGTATTGCATTTATAGTTCTTAAGGGCAGTTCTTTAAGGTTGAATTAATGAAGGATATGATCAATCTTGAAATAGTGAGTACATGTCTGTAATTGTATGTTCCGATTGGTCAAATCCTCCACCCAGATCGAACCAACAAACTGTAACTTAGTGATATTCAGTGCAAAAACACCAGCAGGACAGTCCAGGTAACAAAAACAACTCAAATTTTGGTTTATGTAAAAGTAGTTTATGTCAATAACTTAAAAACGTGATGGGTGGCTCAAGATAATTTGCACTGCATGATGATATTTTTGGGTGAAATGCAGATCTGCTGCTTGCACATGTCAGCTAAGGGTGAAAAATATATGTTTATATAAATGTGTAAAGTAAAATAAAAAATCTAAATCACGTCCAAAATAAAGATTAGGAAATATATCAATTTCATATCATAAATAGCATTTCTAGGAAACAGGTTTACAGTATATGAGATAAACACTACACAAATCCATTAATCTCTTTTTTTTCTTCTTTCTTTTGGTCTACTTTCCAGGCCCACCACTTTTTTTCAGGCACATTTTTCCCATTAAAGCACAGGCATAAGTTACATACATCAGATCCTCTGCAGTGAAATTCACAAGTGATTTGCTCCTTGACCGCTGCAGTGAAAGCTATCAAAAGTTAACTGTTTTAACATGACAGCACACACCACCATGTGGCCAGATAATGTGCCCACTGTCTCCTCTCTCTCTTTTTTTTTCTCATGCAAACATTAGGTTGAAATATTAAAATTGTAAACGAGTTGTGATCTTTTATGCGTGTCAGCTGTGTGCAAAAGCCTCCACCATTAGTGCCTCACGCTGGGGTTGGCTGTCAGACCAACGGCTTATGCATATCTTTCACGGAGGAAACACTCCACGGTGCGAGCTCGGTTACATAACTTTTCCCCCTTACCTCTCATGAGCCGGTGTAATTGTTACGGCTGGGAATAGCGGTGCAGGAGTCGGTTTATGCGTGACTGTTTCTATACTTAAATATTATATCCATAACCATAAAGCATTCAGTGCGCATAAAGCCAAGCGGTCTGGACCTGGCCACAGTAGCCTCCCCGGGGCACTGCAGTTAAACCTTCCTGGGCCACCATTAGGTGGAGAGAGGTGGAAGAAATGTTGGACTGAAGCTGGGACTGAACGAAAGCAGGAGCACAGCTGATGGTAAACCAATTTTCTTGGCCCGATATTTCACCCCACCCCAACACGCATGAACCCCTCAAACACACACATCCGTACAAGTCAGACGCCCGTGAGGACTTCAAATGTGGGACAAAATATGCATTTTCTTGCTCTTTCCATCTTCTCTCTCAACTGCTCTCACACACACTTGATCATCAGCTCAGCTAGTGAGACATCTGCTCCATCATCTGCCCGGTGGGACAAAGGACTGGGCAGGGGTTCAACAAGAAACGTTTATACATTTCTGCAGACTGTTGTAGAAACGGACCGAAAATCATTTCCAATTAAGAGATTTACCTGAGATGCCAATTAACTCTGGCTACATGTGAAAGACGTTACATATCAATGCCAGCAATGACCTTTTTTAGACTCCACATATGCCGTACATTTTAATTCCAGACTTCTTAATATAAAATCAAAACAGCTAAATGGCCCATGAAGCACATGACAACGGCTAATAGGTTTAACCTTTTTCACTATGGTGAATTAAAATTGTTTTTGAAAAAGGACACGTAAAAACTTAAAACATGCAGTGAAAGCTTAACTTTGCACTCTCTGTATTAAGTGTGTCAGATTTTTTTTCCCCCAAATGTAACCGGAGCAGCAGCCACGCAGCAGAACATTACAGGAATTTACGATGTGTTAAATGTCTCCTTTGTTCCTCTCTATGGCAGCTCGCTCTGACAATTAGGGAAGGCAGCAACCTGCTGTGAGCTCATTACCACCGCAACCCGTGATGTCTTCAACTAAATGTTTCTGCAGAGAGATTTGGTGGACTCTGCTAGCAAGATATCCTCGCACAGCAATTTCAGCCTTTACAAGAACATACAAATAGTCATCCTAACTGAATAAATCCACTTCACAGGGCTGTTGTTGTTGCTTTCAGCATTGCGGTAAAATTCGAAATCTAATTTCTACGTGTTGAGCCCCTGTTCGGCAACCCGGTTTGAGATAGATGGTGAGTGAAGGAAAAGGAGAGGTATGGGTTAGCAGTAGTAATAATCATAAATCACTTTTGAAATGCTGCCATGTCAAATGCCACACAGCGCCACTAATGACCGGGCCCATCTTTCACCGGGTATTTTTATCTGTGTGCCCTGACACTCGACTTTTGGAATCGTCCTCTCGTTTTACGTCGTCAGCACCTCGGCCCAGCCTCAGCACAAGTTCTTCACATATCTATAAATACCAGCCAGCTAAATAGCATTTTCTCTCTCCCACCCCCTGCTTGGCAAGAACCGGCGGCTCTGTGACTTGGCAAGTGCATTCACAGTCCTGTACCACTAAACATCTTGGGGCTTAGCCCCCCCCCCCCCCCCACCCTACCCGATCTCAGCGTCACCCTCTGGAGAACAGCTGGCCAAAAAAATAGATCCATCTGCCGTTGCCCTCAAATTCCAGAGAGGCTTAAGCTCGTTGAAGAGGTTGCAATTAGCTTTTTATTTTGAGTTTTTCGTATTCAAACTCAACGAGCGCTGCAGCTCGAGTTGACTGGTGGGACTGCGGGGGGGGGATAGGAGCATCAGCATACATCAGCTCTTGTTGGCTCATTCAAACGCTTTCACACAGCAGGCAGAGAATTGCACCAACACCTGTACATGCTTCCTCTGTGCAGAATGTTCTGCCAAGATCTTTAAGCTTGCTGACATGAGGCACTAGAGACCGCAGGTCAGCGACAGCTTCCTGCTATTTTGGGCTGCGTCACAGCTTGAGGTTTTAATTCATTCTGCCGGAGTGTGTCAATCACTTAGTGGCTGCTTCAGGCCCGGGACTGCCGCCGGAGGAAGAGGCAGCACAGCAGGCTCAGAGGAGTCCAACAAAGCTCTGCTTATATTATGGCTGCAAGTTAACTCTACCTCTCTTTTCCGCCTCTCTACACCACAAATACGTCAAGTTGTTTTACGCCTCGCTTTAAGAGTCAGATTTGGCGAGGAACCGGAGATGGACTCAACAAAATCACAATGACAATAAATTGCGATTTTACATTTTCAGACAGGCCTGGTGTGGACCAGCAACCGGTCCAGGGTGCTCCACAATAGACAACAGATTGATGGATAGATATTTTCATACAGCCAGCTACGTAAAAGGTCTGCAAATCTTTGGTCGCTGTTATTTTTTTTATCAAAGCATGCACATAACATCTACACGTCCAATATATAATGTGTCTTTTTCCACAAAAATATGAAAGAAAAGCTTTTTGTCATGACTTAGATTCAGCTTCATTAACTCATAAGAATGTAGAAAAATTACTCTAACAAATCTGACATCAAAAGAAAGGAGACAATTCAAGTCTTCCAAGTCATGCATCGTCACCTTGGATATGATTTTTTTCATGCATCTTTTTTTTTACATATAAACACCAAACCCACGGTTATGTTTCATTGATTAAATATCTGCTTAATTTCAGGAGATAGAATCCTCATTTTCTAGATAAAAGTCCAACAACCTGACTGTGAATCAGACACCAACATGCATTACCTGGAAGTTCCCATGACGGTCTCCCATGGTCCCCAACACACCAGGCTGTTTTTCTCATGGATTGTTCATTAGAGAAAGAATTGAACAGCATCCTATTTCCCTAGCAGCTGGGTTTGCTGTATTAACATTTTTAACCAAAACATATCTTTTCTATAACTTAATGTCTTGGGGAGCCTTCTATATGAGGGTCAATCAAAACATCACTTTAAAGTCAAATTGCCTTGAACATATTGGGTATTATCTGATGTTTGGTGTTTTTTTGTTTTTCCTTTTATGACTGAGTCTACCCCTGGACAATGACTTGTGTATAGAACAGGAAGTCTTGGCCTGGATATGCATTATTTGACAGTTGTTAAGCACAAAGATACACTGGGTGTTACTCATATGTGAGGTCAGTTGAGGTGACTATGAAGAAGTTGACATCTCGTGTGCAAAGCATGCTATAACCTCTTCTGAATCAAATCAGCAACAGGTGAAAGAAAGCAGCTGGTTACACTATAGATGCATTTACACCTGGTTTTTGGAACCCCTGAAGACATGACTCCTCTGGAGAGCTTCCAGAGAAGCGGCATACCTTCATTAGCTCATCCGATATAGTCTTAGTAAGACTAAATATAGTCTCATTAAGTGTCAGGGCCAACACAATGAGTTTGGATTAACTGCTAAAGTTACCAATAAGAATTGCTCTTTTCAGGACAAATATTTTACCCAGCTGTGCAAGTGAGATTAGAAACCTTTAACGTCACTGTTAAATGGTGAAAACATTTCTCTGCATTTTTTTTACATAAAAAAATCTATGCTTCTATACAATTTGTAGTTATCTCTTTGTAT